GTTTAATGCTGCTGATGGGTCTGATGAGGACTGAAATGTGACCATAGAATTTGTCAGTGTGGAAGTCATTGGTGACTTTGAGTAGAGCAGTTTCTATGACAATGTGGGGTTACTAAATTCAAAGGAGAGAGCCCAAGGCAGTATGGAAAGAAACGGTTTGGTTTTGGTGATTATATACAAGTCTTTCAATGAGCTTTAAGGTAAAGGAGAAGAGTGAAACAGGACATAACTGGAAGGAGATGTGAAATCAAAAGAGTTTTTTTTGTTTTGTTTTGTTTTATTTTAAATGATGTTTCATGCCGATGGGAATGAAATATATATATATATCTATATATATATAAAATATATTATATATATAAAAAATATATATATAAAGTGAGAACATTGATAGTTCAGAAAAGAGAGGTGAGAAATGCCAGGAAATGCCCTTGGATGGTATAGCTGTATAGGAGCAGAAGGACTGTCTCAGATGGAAGAGCTATCTGCTCATCTACAGTAAGAGGAAGGAAGGAAGGCAGAATATGGGGATGTAGATGCCTGTGGATTAGAAGACGCAAGAGAGGAAGTAGTGGAAGCTCTCCCAAGAAACAGGAAATGAGGAAATTTGCTGAAAGGTAGGATGAGAAGTAGATGTTAAAACTTGAAAAGAAAAGAGAAGGGTGGAGCGTGAATGAACCAGGTAAGTGAAGTTTGATTTCGAGGCATGATGAAGGGCTCTCATGAGGTAGCGTGCATAAATTTATGGTGAGATCAATCAGAATAATTATGTGTTTTTCTCCAGCCACATTAGGGAAATGGAGGCAGGTATGTGGAGGGTGCAGTTTTTCCTAGGGTTTAGTTTTTACAAGACGAATGTAATGAAATAAGGGAGGAGCCATGGATTTCTTGGTTTGGGTAAGGGCATTATTATAGAGGAGAATCTTGGAATTTAAAATGGGTACGAGTCGAAAATCAACTCAAAGGCAGCAAACAACAAGTACAGAAATGGGACTATGAGGGGTTCAGAGAGAGCCAAAATAGATTTGTTAAAATCTTCTTTTCAGAAAATGGTAAAATTCTAACTCATATAAATACCAAAAAGAGAAGACACTAAATTTTAAATTTTTTTCATGATAAAAGGAACTTATTTTCTCTTCCTAAGTTTTATACTAGGAGTCTTTTTCAGTTTAAAGTATATGGGAAAATATAACTTGCTTTGCTTTTATGCAAGGACTAGCAGACATTTAGTATTTTCTGATTCCTGAGATGTTTTCTCTGACATCAACTTGAGTGGGGAAGCTGGGAGTAGGAATGCTCAGGGTATCCTGGCTCCAGCCTTTGGCCTAGAGAGGAGTTTCTGTTCAGGGCAGCAGGAAAGGCATTTGGGAGTCATGGCTGAGGTCAGATTATAGAGGGTCAGATGGGAATGCAAATGACCATGGAGTGAAGGCCAGAGTGAGGGCTGAGAGCAGATTTAAAGGAAGTGAGCAGGAAGAGCAGGAGACCTGTTCTCTTTTGGAGCCAGAGGATGTCCAGCTGCCGATTTTCTGACTATTTCATCCCAACTTGTTTGCTTGATCAAAAGAAAGAAATGAACAACAGCAGTCTCTGTGACAGTGCCTAAAAGTGGGACTCTTCCGCTACTCTGCCTCTGTAAGAGGTTTATATTTGGAGTCACATTATTATGAGGGGATATCTTGATTTTGGAACACAGTAATTCGTTGTACTTTCTTTGATCTGATGGTGCTGATGGTGAGAGTGAAATTGGCCTCAGATCCACTGCCACTGAAGCGGGCGGGCACCCCATCAACGCAGGTGGAAATGGGGTAAATGAGGACCTTAGGAGTCTGCCCAGGTTAAGTGGTGTCTCACATCAGAGTAGGTCAGACTGAAGAGCCCTTTAGCTGATGGAGGTTCTCTCCAGGGAGACAGCCAGGAATTCTGAAGCCGGTGTCATCGCCATCTGCTGGCGTGAACCTGCAATGACAGGCACTCGGGGATGATGCAGAGATTCTGCGAAATCAAGGACAGAAGAAACAACCAAACCAAAATAGTCTAGCTGTGATAGGTGGACAGGCCTGTATTGCTTGGAGGATTTTTTTCATAACTCATTTGAAAATTATAGTTGTGAATGGGAGGATTGTTCTGGAGAGAAAACTCCATGTCTAGGTTTGCAAATATCCTCTCACCTGGAACAGAGTAGAGCAGGAGCCTGAGGATCTGGATGGTGTCACCATCCTGCAGCTTCTCTCTTGTGTGAAGTTTCTCAGGTTCCACCCTCCAGAAAAGGCTGCATTTATGAGCCTCAGATCAGGAGGGCTGAGGACAGGATAAGGTGGTGGCAAGGAGACATTTATGCCAAGAGCCAGAGAGTATGATGGTGAAATTCTTAGATCACAAGGTTGTGGTAAAAAATCTTGTAGGGTGCTCTTTTTTTACTTACTTTTGGCATATGGCTGTAATGGACACCTATTACCTTGGATTCTGTGCCTAAAACTAAGATTTAGCTGGTGATTTGAAGCAAATGTTTTGTGCTCGCCTGCTAACCTGAAGGTTAGCAGTTCGAATCCTCTTATGGGGCCCCAGAAGAAAGGCCTGGTGATCTACTTCTGTAAGATTAAAAACCATATGCTGTTGAGTTGATTCTGACTCCTGATGACCCTATGTGTTTCAGAGTAGAACTATGATCTGATTTTTCATAAGTATTGCCAGTCCTTTTTTTTTTTTTTTTTTGAGGGCATTTTTGGGGGAGTATGAGCTAAGTGTGTTAAACATTAAACATAATTTTTAATTAATCGTTTGTTGTTATTGTTTGTTTCATGTCTAAGGATAAACCTTGTTCTTGTTATTCCTTCTAGCCAAGAAGTGGAAGTCTCTTCAACTAAGTTTTAAAATTTTGTCAGTTCTATTTCTAATTTCTAGAAATTCAATTGGTTCTTTTTCAAATCTGAAGTGTCCCCTTTTTAGTTTCCTGTACCCTGCATGCAATGTCAAGTTCATCATTTATTTCCTTAATTCCCAAATCTGAGTGTGAGCAGAACTTCTTTTGTTTTCTGTTGTTTCTGTTGCATCTCATTTGTATTCATATCCTGTTGTTGTTGAAAGGTGCCACCAATCCATTTCAATTCACAGTGACCCTATGTTCAACAGAAGGAAACACTCCCTAGTCCTGTGCCATCCTCACAGTCTTTGGTATATTTGAGCCCATTGTTGCAGCCACTGTGTCAATCTATCTCCTTGAAGCTCCTTTTCTTTTTTACTGACCCTCTACTTCGTTAAGCATGATGTCCTACTCCATGGACTGTTCCGTCCTGATAACACATCCTCAGTAAGAGAGATGAAGTCTCCCCAGTCTGGCTTCTCAGGAGCATTTGGGCTGCCCTTCTTCCAAGTCAGATTTATTTGTTCTTCTGGCAGTCCGTGGAATATTCAACACCATAACTCAAAGGCATCAATTCTTCTTTGGTCTTGTTTATTCATTGTCCAGCTTTCGCATGCATATGAGGGGATAGAAGATACTATGGATGGGCTCAGGTGCACTTTAGTGTTCAAAGTGACATCTTTGCTTTTTAACATTTTAAAGAGGTCTTTTGAAGTAAATTTGCTGAACGCAGTATGTTTGATTTCTTGACTGCTGCTTCCCTGGTTGTTGATTGTGGATCCAAGGAAAACGAAAGCCTTGACAACGTCAATATTTTCTTGTTTATCAAGATGTTGCTTATTAGTGAAGTGAGGATTTTTTTTTTTCTTTATGTTGAGGTATAACCCATACTGAAGGCTGTAGTTTTTGATCTTCATCAGTAAGTGCTTCAAATCCTCTGTGCTTTCAGAGAGCAAGATTACTCTAGTTATCTTATTTTCTTGGATGTCAAGAATCTCTGACTTCTTGGTGTCTTTATCTCTTGAAAAATTATTTGTGAGGTTTCCTGAAGATTTATGATGGGTGTGTCTTCTTCCAGAGGAGATCCCATTTTTTGGCCCTACCTGTAGGGCTACATTAAACCAACTTCAAGACTGAAGAGTTCCAGGCACACTGAGGGCACGCATACCTGGAATGAAACTCCTTGAAGGGTTAGTGTTCAATCACAACTTCACAAGGAAATCCTGTTTGTTTTTCCGTGTCCCTTTCCACAATGAACCTAGAGCCCACTTCTCAGTTCCTAGCCTTTATGGGCAAGATAGGTTATGCTTTCTAGTTGGTTCACACTTCCTTTGAGATTAGAGGCCTCCTGAGCCTCAGCTCAATATTGAGTTTCTGAGGACTTTCCATAAGAATAAACTGCAGGCCTCTCTTCCATTTCTTGGGCCCTTGCATAGCCCAGGAATACAATCTCATGTGTTTGCAGTGTCTTTAAAGTATCCTTCAGGATAAAAGCTTCCTTAGAGCTCAGACATTATCTAGCAATAATTTTTTATCAAAAACTGAAGGAAATATTTCACATATTTTTCCATTTCCTGTGTTCTTTTTTTTTTCAGTATTTTTTAATCATTTCACAAAACTGTTGATTTGAGGAAACCAGTACATAATTTATAGAACCTGAACCTGTTTAAAACAGTTTTTGAATTAAAACAGAAGCTATTCATTAGATTATGGGCGCATAAAGCCGTTTGTGATCAGTTGCTAATCTAAAGTCTGGCAATTTCAACACACCCAGTGCTAATATGGAAGAGAAGTCTGGTGATCTGCTTCTGTAAAGAATACAGGAAAGAAAACCCTATGCAGTAGTTCTACACTTAATACATGGGTTCTCCTTGAGCTGGAATCAACTGCACTGCAAGTCTTTTTTTTTTTTTTTCAAGTTGATATTAGAGTTTCTAAGTCACTTTTGTGCCTTTTCTAGTCATAAAATTATACTTTCCGTGATATTTGGCTCTAGATGTATATTGGTTTGTTTCACAATCAACCGTCCATGTAATTTGCTTTCAGTTCACTGAGTGCTTTGCATAGGCCCTCCAAGTCCAGGCTGGCTGCTCAGATTTTATAAACGGGACCATTGCAATGTGAGCTGATCAGCATCAGGCAGGCAGGGGCAGCAAGATGGTGCCACAGACTCTGTTCCTCATGTCCCTGTTGCTCTGGGCCTCTGGTGAGAAATTACAAGTGCTTCAATCCCTATAGAATAGTATCTTTGTAGAAGTGAAAAATGATTTTAAAATATAGTGGGAAGTGGTGGTTATTTGCAAAATGGAACCAATTATGTGCAGATATGTAATATCACTAGATGCTGTGGTATAAATGGTATATTTCAATATGCTTATGAAAAAGTGTGTGTATATATGTGTGAATGGTAATTGTCCACTGTGATTGCAGGTGCGAGCGGGGACATTGTGCTGACCCAGTCTCCAGCCTCTCTGGCTGCGTCTCCAGGAGAAACGGTCACCATCAACTGCAAGTCCAGTCAGAGTGTGAGCAGCAGCTATTTAAACTGGTATCAGCAGACCAGGACAGGCTCCTATGCTGCTCGTCTGTGAAGATTACCAGGCCTTGCTTACTAGTCCTTATTAGTCTGAAAGTGCTGTTCAAACCTGTTCGGCATCACAACAACACACATATAAGAAGTGGGGTAAATGAGGCCTGTGGGTCCCTGCTCAGGTTTATGCTGATGTCAGCTCAAGTCGATTTTTTTTTTTTTTTTTT